GATGCCACATTCATTTCATAAAGTCTAGAATCTTGAATTATTTCCTTAGCATACAGATTGAATAGTTACAGAGTAAAGAGATAGTCCTGACACACGTTTCCTGATTTTAAGCCATGCATTGTTCCTTTGCTCTGTTTGCACACCACCTCTTGGTCTAGGTATAGGTTTTGTATTAGCACAATTAGGTGTTCTAGGATCCCCATGCTTCCCAATATTAGCCATAATTTGTTGTGATCCACACAGTAAAATGCCTGTGCATAATTAATAAAACACAAGTAGACATCCTTCTGGAGCAGTGAGGGGAAGGGATGGTAGAGTGAGTTTGGGGTGTGCTCCTGTCTCAAGCTGGAGAGCCATGGGGAACAGCAGGAACAGGTTTGAAGGAAAGGGTCTTGTCCCAGGGATGAAGTCCTGAGGAGCCTAAATGGTTTTATTTAAAAGAAAGGTTTTTTAACAGAAAGACTGCTAAGCATTTAGAATAAAGACTCAAATGGCTAAGAGGCTTTCTTTAAGTAATTACCATTTTTTGGAGCAGAAATCAGGACTCAAAATATGCTGTAGAAGAAATGAGATCTTTATTAACCCCTAGGGCACATTTCAATACATAGGCAGATGTAAAATGTTGGAACAAGGAAAGCCAAGGCACAATGAAGGACCTGTAAGAGTCCCTAGAGCTCACCACGGGCACACAGAAGAGGCCTTTCCCTTCATCAAGAATCTGAGTGGGGTAAACTGCTGTGCTGGTCCATTGAGATAGGCCAAACCACCCCAGCCTGGCTGACAAGAATGTGGAGCCATGACATCAGGAACATCAGAACTTGCTGGCATAGAGGGTTATCATCCACTTGGGCATTCGTAGGAAGCTGGGTATGTAGCTGGCCAGCCAGCCCCGCTTGGAAGTGTGTGTCAGAAGAAATTTCATGGATAGATAGTCATGGACAGGGCGGCCTGGGGACAACAGGAACATGATTAGACTCTTGTCTCCCATTCATTGAACATTCCAGTCTAGGCTGATATGACTGAGCGAGAAGCGAGGAACAAAAGGCCGTGGAGAAAGTAAGCAGACAACAGAAAAAGAGAAGTAAAGGCTGGTTCTTGGGCCCAGAGCACTTACCATCTACATCCTTAATGCCATAGCGTCGAGCAAGGTCACAAGATGGCAATACCTTCCCACTTAGTCTCAGGATATTGGGGTCTGTGGATACATACATAGTAAGAAGTGGCATGGGAGTGTGGCACACAATAATGGGGTTTGGGTTCAGTGGGACAAGGCACCACTGACACAGGCTCAGGAATATAGGACAATTGTTTTTCTCTGTTCTTAGGAAGGCTCCTAAGCCTCTGGGTACTGGCCACTTCCTAGGAGCTAGTTCCTAATGGCTCCAAAACTCAGACTGAGAATCCTGTCTTTGGGATTCAAGAAGCCAGAAGAAAGGGGAAAAAAAAATTTAATTTTCAACTATTTCCCGAACCCGGATTTGGTGACTGGCTGCTATATTCCTTCCATGCCTTTTGTTTTGTTTTGTTTTGACAGCTAACTATCCCCAACCTCCTTACCTGTTGCTAAAGCCACAATGAATTTGCCACTCAATTCTGTGGTCTCTGCAATTGAGAAATCAGACATAATCTGTACAGAGGACAGAAAGAGAAAAGGTTAGTATTGGAGTCTTCTTCTTTCAGCTTCTGTTCCAGGAAAGAGTCCTTCCTTGTTCCATCGACAGAACCATCTTCTCCCCAAATGTGGATAAGCCTGTACCCAGCGACTGGGATCCACTGCCATTCCTGAAGCAGGAGATGCTGACTGTGAGTACCGACAAGTGT